TCTTCGAAATCTGATACGGTCCAATAAAATGAGAAGTGAGCTTCTTAGACTTCAACGCTCGCCCAACACCTGTCACAGGTGTAACTCTCAAAAACACATGATCACCAGCTTGAAATTCTAAATCTTTCCTTCTCTTGTCATGATAACTCTTTTTTATACTTTGTGAAGCTTTCATCTTTTCTCGAATCAATTTCACCTTCTTGGTAGTCTCACTAACAAGTTCAGGTCCAAGTACTACACTTTCTCTAGATTCATGCAAACATAACGGAGTTCTACATCTTCGATCATACAACTCTTCAAAAGGTGCCATCCCAATACTGGAATGGTAACTGTTATTATAAGTGAGCTCTATCAAAGGAAGATAAGTATCCCACGAACCTCCCTGCTCAAGAACACATGCCCTCAGCAAATCTTCCAACGATTGAATAGTCCGTTCAGTCTGACCATTTGTCTGAGGGTGATACGCTGAACTCAATCTCAACTTAGAACCCAACGCTTCTTGCAAACTCTTCCAAAAATCAGAAGTAAATCTTGGATCTCTATCTGACACAATGCATAAAGGGACACCATGCAGCTTCACAATCACACTAACATAAATCTCAGCCAACTTCGGCACTGGAAAACAGATGTTAATAGGAATAAAATGATCTGACTTCGTAAGCCTATCAATAATCACCCAAATTAAATCATGTTTTCTTAAAGTATTAGGTAACCCCGTCACAAAGTCCATTGAAATGCTATCCCATTTCCATTCTGGAACTTCCAACGGTTGCATCAATCCCGCAGGCTTCTGATGTTCAACTTTAGACTTCTGACAAGTCAAACATGCATACACAAAACGAGCCACGTCACTCTTCATCCCAAGCCACCAAAACAAATCTTTCAAATCTTGATACATCTTTGTAGCTCCTGGATGAATACTTAACTTACTTCTATGACTCTCTTCAAGTATCACTTTCTTCATCTCAGCATCATCAGGAATATAAATACGGTTACGAAATTTCAACACACCTTGCGCATCTAGCTTAAAATCACTATTCTCAGATTGATCAGTCCCAACCATCAAATCTACCAGCTTCACATCCAACTTTTGAGCTTCTCTGATACTGTCTAAAAATTCATTATTAATCTTCAACATACCCAACATAACACTTTGCGGAGTAACCTTGCAAACTAAGCTCATATCTCTGAATTGCTCAATTAATTCCAACTCTTTAATAATCATTGCTGACATATGTAAAGTCTTTCGACTCAACGCATCTGCCACCATATTCTCTTTTCCTGGATGATAATTCAAACTGAAATCATAATCCTTTAACAATTCCAACCATCTTCGTTGCCTCATATTCAACTCCTTCTAATCAAATAAATACTTTAAGCTCTTATGGTCAATAAACACTTCAAATCTAGAATCATAAAGATAATGCCTCCAAATCTTCAACACAAAAACAACTGGATCAAGCTCTAAATCATGGGTAGGATAGTTCTTCTCACGAGTCCTTAACTGCCTTGACGCATAAGCAACTACCTTACAATTATGCATAAGCACACCTCCTAAACCCTTCTTAGAAGCATCACAATAAACCACAAAAGGCTCTCCTGGATTAGGCAACGTCAAAATTGGAGCCAATGTCAACCTCTTCTTCAATTCTACAAAACTTTCTTCGCACTAAACATCCCATACAAATGCTTTACCTTTACAAGTCAACTTAGTCAATGGAAGTGACAACTTAGAAAACCCTTCGATAAACCTTCTATAATAACCAGCTAATCCCAAGAAGCTTCTAATCTCAGTAGCTTACTTTGGAGTTTCCCATTGCAACACAGCATCCACCTTCGATGGATCTACAGTAATGCCACTACCTGAAATCACATGACCAAGAAAACTAACTTCTTTTAACCAAAATCCACACTTGGACAGCTTTGCATACAACTTCTTCTCTTTCAAAACTTGTAATACTACTCTTAAATGTTCAGCATGCTCTTCTTCTGACTTAGACTAAATCAAAATATCATCAATGAACACCACTACGAACTGATCCAAATAAGTATGAAAGATACGATTCATATATTCCATGAATACTCCCAGCACATTAGTAACACCAAAAGGCTTCACCGAATACTCGTAATGTCCATAACGCATTCTGAAATCCATCTTCTGAATATCTTCATCCTTCACTTTAATTTGATGGTAACCCGACCTCAAATAAATCTTACTAAACACACGAGCATCCACCAATTGGTCCATCAAGTCATCTATTCTTTGAAGCAGATACTTGTTCTTAATCGTCACTTTATTCAGCTGTCTATAATCAACACAAAGCCTCATTCTCCCATCTTTCTTCTTTACTAACAATATTGGAGCTCCCCACGGTGACACACTTAGTCTTATAAACTTCTTCTCAAGTAACTCTTCCAATTGCTTCTTCAACTCTGACAATTCAGATGCCGACATCCTGTATGGTGCCATAGACACATGGCTGGTACCAGGTACAAGATCAATAGCAAATTCAACTTCCCTCTCTGGCGGTACATCAGGAATCTCATCAGGGAAAACTTCAGGAAATTCACACACCACCTACAATTCCTCAATTATAGCTTGAGTCTTTACAGATAGCGATGCCATCAACGAGAACATCTGTGCTTCCTCTTACATCAACTTCCCCAACTGTCTAGCACACAATAGACCATCTTCCTCTTCTTCAGGAGTAGAAAACTTCACCAATTTGTCATAACAGTTTATATGAACACAGTTATACTCTAACCAATTCATACCCAAAATCACATCCAAACCTCTTAACGGTAAACAAACTAAATCAACAACAAAGTCTCTATCGAAGATCGACAAGGGACACTTCAAACACACAAAATAAGTAGTCACTGACCCTTTGGCTGGAGTATCGACGACCATTTCTCCATTCAAAGAAGACAACATAAGACCCAATCTTTCAACACACTCAGCTGCAATAAAATAATGCGTAGCACCAGTATCAATAATAGTAATTAAAGGAGTACTATTAATGAAACATGTACCTCTAATAAGTCTGTCCTCAGCAGCTGTCTGATCCTCCACTAAAGCAAACACTTTACCACTTGACTGAGCCCTCTTCGGCTTCGGTCACTGACTACTAATGTGCCATTCTTCTCTATAGTTGAAACAAATCACATTATTGTGTTCACACTCAGATACAACATGTTTGTTCTTACCACAATGGTAACATCTCTTCACTTCAACAGTGCATACAGTACTCTTGTGCCCATGTTTCCCACACTTAAAGCAAATCATACCAGCAGGAGCATCTACCCCACTAGTCCTCTGACCCTGAGAAACTTTATGTTTACCTTTACCAGTTGGGGAATCATAAGGATTACCACGATTCTGTTGGTGCTTACCCCTCTTCTCACTGATAATCTTGTAATGAGCATTATTATCCTCTTCATAAATCCTGCAACTATCAACAAAGTCAGCAAAGACGCGGATCATATGGTATCCAACTACCTTCTTAATCTCCGGGTGCAACCCATTCTCAAACTTAATACACTTTGAAAATTCAGCATTTTCCTCAGCGTATTGCGGATAAAACATATCCAACTCAGCAAACTTGGCAGCATACTTAACAACTGACATACCTCCTTGCTTCAGCTCAAGAAACTCAATTTCCTTCTTGTGACCTGTAGCGATAAAAAATGTAGCGGGGTAAATCGGAGATCGAATTATTGATTAATTCGTCTCACAAAAGCAAGAGTCGCCACCGCGCTTTATTGTTTCCAAAGGAAAAGGGAAAAGAGCGAAATAAAACCCTAAATATGCAATGTAAATAAAAATACAAATACAAAGCGTTTTTGAAAAGAGATCTTATGGTTCGGGGGTTGGTTATACAATGGGAAGGTATTAGCACCCAATGCATCTATAGTACTCTATAGGAACCTTTTGAAATATCTGTTTTATTTAAAATTGATCGCTTGATTGAAAATAAATTGTTTTGGCCGAAAAGGGATACGGACGGGTTTTTGAAGATACGACAACCTAACGTTGAAGTTTTGACTTAAAAGGTGTGAGTTTTGGAGAAATCGGATATTTGGAAAAATTATCCTAAGTTTCAATGAAATGAGGGTACTCGCTCGATTGTTTTTGAGGACATGAAGTCAACAAAAAATTAGACCATTCCCTTTGGGTTGGTGCAAACAGAATAAACGGGTACAATGAAATAATTGACAGAAAATGATACACAACGATTAAATGTGGACATGCATTTTTATATGATTTTTGTTTAATAGGCGAAAAGAAAAAGTTTAATTGATTTTCACTTTTTTACACATTTTTAATAGGGAGAAAACATGGGAATTAATAGAAATGTTTTTTAGGTTTTTAAGCTTTTAAGTTCTATTTTTTATGTCTTTTTTTTATATAAATAAAAAGTATTACTTTTAAGAATTCTTTGAATAAAATTAAAACTTAATGCTATTAACCTAAGTCTAATTAAAAATAATACTAAGATTACTAAATTAAATCCTAAGAGTTAAATTAATAAAATTAGTCAATGATTAAAAAAATGTTTTAAGTTACATCTCTTATTTTGATTTACTAAATTAAAACTTAAACTAATAAGATTTGGACAAAATATTAAAAATTATTTAATTAAAACTATATGTTATTTCTAAGAAACTAATTAGTCTAGATTAATTAAGTTAAGAAATGAGTAGAATTTTAACTAAAAACCAAATAAGATGGGGGTGGATTAGCGAAGAGAATGGGCTTATGTGTAAAAAGAAAATGGGCTTAGTTGAGGCAAATGGAGCGGTTGGGAGGACCCGGACAGAATGCTTGTGACGAAAAAACCTAAGGAAACGTTGTGCCATGGCCGCCGCCGCTGGACCCCTTTTCTTCCTCCTTGTTCCGGTCTCCTCCACGATCCACCTCGCGTTCTACAGTTCTGGCCAGTTCAACGGCGGTTCCAACGTAAGTATGCGGCGTTAACTTAAGAGATAGGTCTTTGCATTTAGGAAATATTTAAGCCTTCAATGAAGTCTCTTAAGCTTTCTTTGGTAATTGCTTTCCCTCTAGTCAGCTCTTTTAACTTCTCATAAGGCTCGGGAACATTGTATCTTCGCATAACCGTTTGTATTGGTTCAGCAAGTACCTCCCAGCACTGGTTCAAATCTTCGCTCAAGCGAGCTTCGTTGACCTGAAGCTTCCCAATTCCTTGAAGTGTGCTTTAATGCAAGAAGGGAATGACCAAAATTGACACCCATGGTCCTTAAGACAGTTGAATCAGTCAAATCTCTCTGCCAACGTGAAATCGGCAACTTCAAGCTTAGATGAGAAAAAACCTCCATTAGCCACGCCTAAATTGCTTTCGCTGTTCTCAAAATCAATGGGATTCGCTTTGTGAGGCATAGTAGTGGTGGTTGCGGTTAAAGGATGGGAGATTGGTGCTGGAAGGAGGAACGATGAAGATTGCTAGCGTGGTTAGTGGATTTCGAAGCGTGATTAGGAGGAAGCAAGTTGGTTCTGTTCATTGCAGGAGTCATCCTCAATTGGCTAGAAAGTTATCTGCTGTTGATCTCGTTGGAATCGGTAATTCTTCATTTTCCAATTTCCAAGTTATACTGATTATGGTGCTAATTAACGATAGTTAGGTCTTAGAATTATAAATATGTAGGTGATTGATGATTCTTGAAAATCAGGTGTTGGAGCTACAATAGGAGCTGGAGTGGAGACGTTTTCCGGTAACGCGGTGGAGAGGTTGATGAGTTTGTCGTGGAGGCAGAAAGGGTTACGGGGAGGTTTCAACGGTAAGCTTTTGATTTCTTTTCTGTATTGACAAATCATTTGTTCTTGATTCTCTACCTTGTCATTCGCTTCCTCTAAGGCCAATACCAAACCTCTATTCCCATCTTCCATCTGTTTAATCTTTTCATCGCAATCAACTCGGATTTTATCATTTGCACCTCTGAGATGTTTGATAATAGACTCTTGTTCTTTCAACTTTCCTTTGAGACCTTCATTCACATTCTTCGCCTCGGTTAGTTCATCCGCCTTTTGAAGAAGTTCATGATCAAGCTTCTCAGATTTCAACTTTGCCTCTTGCGTTTGATTAACCTGCGCATTAAGAGATCTCTTCAAATTCTCAATTGAATCTGATTTGCTTCTTAATTCTGCCTTGAGTTTATCGATTTCAGATTTCGCTTCCTCGAGCTCTTCATAAACCTTTTCCATTCCTTTTCACATATAACAAATTCAACAGAATTTTCCCCGAACAGTTGAAGAGAACAAAGCAAAGCAAGTAGTGTTGTCGTGTTGCTGTGATTCAGTGGCTGAAGATGAAGAAACGTGAATTGGGAGAGAAGGAGCAAATTTGTGAACTTGTCTATTATTTCAAATTGGCTTTAAATAATCAGTGCTTATGATCGTGCCGGTTTTGCAATATTATGAATCTTGAATTTTATCAATCAAATTATTGTCGGTGTTAAATAGGGATTAATGTGTTGATGATTCGCAAAGATATTAAATGGCCATTTTCATGATTTCAGGAAATTAAAGAGAGGATTATTAAGTGAGACAAAGGCAACGCAACGGTATAAAGGTTTATGCGAAAAGCTGAAGAAAACTCACATGGTCGGAGCTAGTCCGACGGTACGATTCCGGCGAAATCAGGTAAGCTCCGAAGACTCCTCGCTCCTTGCTTTCTGCCACTAATTCTTCTCTTCTTCTCCGTCTCAAAAACTGGTTGGAAATATTGAATAAATGGTTTTTTTGGTGATTTTGCAGGTTTAGCAATATGCCGGTTTTGAAATATGTGGCTTTTGAAATAAATGCAGGTTTATGAAAAATGTAGAAAACGATTTGATGCAAGTTATGAAATATGCAACAAAATGGTTTGAATATGCAGAATTTTTGAATATGCATGTTTATGAAAATATGCAGGATGGTTTGATCTTGCAGAATTTTTGAATATGCATGTTTATGAAAATATGCAGGTTTTTGAATATGCATGTTTTCAACAATATGCAGGTTTTTGAATATGCATGTTTTGAATATGCAGAATGGTTTGATCTTGCAGAATGTGAATGGTTTTGCTTGATAGTTTTGTCTGCCCCCTCTATGCAAGCTAAAAACTTCCCTTTTGAAGGGGTGCCCTTCCATATGACCGTTTTTTCCTGCTGGCTCAGGTTTGAATATCTTAATATATTTTTCTGATGCTTGCACCTATGCTGCTACAAGGTTGACTTTATTCCCAATTCATGCTTAAGTCAGAACCTGCAAAATTGAACCTCTTCTCTCTCTCTCCCATGTACAGAAATGATATATATAAATGATATACTGTACATTTTTCTGAAATTGTAATGGCCAGAAAATGATGACAAAAAAAAGGAATAGGTTGCTTGCATACATTGTTTAAAACTGCACATTGTTTGAAATTTCATATTGTTTTTTGTCTTGCATTAGCCTATATTATTCTGCAGGTTAACGTTGGCTTGTTGTGTACCTTGCATATGTTTGTTTGAAAAAAATGTATGCTGTGATTTATACTTATGCAGTTTTGACCAAAAAAGTATTTATGCATATGTGAAATATGCAGTGGGCTTTTTGATAAAAATGCAAATGATTTTGAAAATGTGCTATTTTTTAATTGTGCATTCATTTAAAAATTCCTCTCTTTTTTGTGAACCGGGAGAAATCCCGTGATTTGCAAAAAAGAGTAACTGATTCCGGCCATTGCTTTTAATGATGAACATTGAATTTATTTTCTGCATTTTAATTATTTATCCGAATTCTAATTTCTTTCTTTTAATCGTTTTTTTTTTGCAGGTAAAATTTAAATGAGCAGACAAAAAGTATTGGATAGAAGATTAGAATTAGAATTTAGGAAAATAGTTTTATTTTACTTTAAGCATTTATGTAATGGTTATTATAAATACTTTGTACAATAGTATTTAAACAACAATTGTAATAAATAGAATAAAGTGAATAAAAATTCTATTATTTCTCAATTAATTCCTTTTCTTTCCAATTATTTATTTATTGTTTATAATTCCTTAAATCATATAATGATTGAAAATCAAATCCAATCATTTAAATTCAGAATGACAAACAACTAAATAAACATCATTGACTAATCAACAAATTCAACTATTTAATTCATTATTCGTAAAATTCCAAATTATAATAATTAAAAATAGAATTTTAATTATTTAATCTAAAATGATAAAGAATTAAATAATCATTGTTGACCAATTAATAAACTCATTCTCAAATGCTTATTTCATTATTCATAAGTCTTTAAATTATATAACAATTGAAAAATAGATTCCAATTATTTAAATTTAAGATAATAAATAATTAATAAACGTCATTTAAATCTTGATCAGTTAATAAATTTAGCGTTCAACAAATAAACAGCTCCCGACTCGAAAAAGTTATGAATTTTTAAACTGCTTTGAAAATTTGATAAAAATGGTCAAAACTCCTGCAATGCGAATGATGCAGATGGAAGACGGTATCTTAGGTCAAAATTTGGGGTACAACAGCTGCCCCTATTTAAGTTCCTTCAATCCGGAGATATGAAGATTTGAAATCTTCGTTTCGACGAGATTGAAGGTACTTAAATACATAACTACGCAAATTTTGTCCTATGATGCCGTCATCATGCAGTGATATGAATGTAGTGCATGAATTCACGGAGAAAGATATTGTGTGAAACAAGACAATGCTGGGGGAATCGAACACCAACAAAACACAGAGACATGAATTATACGCTACTGGGGAAACAAGCTATCAACTTCCAACGACAGACTCCTGACAGCGAATAAAATTGAGGGAATACGACGTCTAACCCTAACAAAGAGAGCATCTTGCATAAGCCGTAACAAATCATTGATCCAACACAGTGAATTCGCAAATCGAGGTCGACGATAGACAGAGAGTATCAAATTGCGGATAACTGATTACCGACTTCTGGAGGTATAGATTCGTAACAGACTTCTCTGCTAGCTTCCCAGAGGTATACTCATTAATGCTGAGGTAATGAGACTGTAGATACGAAGGTTGTTCAAATAAAGAAAACTGCCAGTTGCTGGTGTCCAGAGAAAATACCGATAACAAACAAGTTGCTCAAATAAAGAAGCTGCCGCTTGTTGTCGTCCAGAAAAGAAAATATCGATAACAAACAAGCTGCTCAAATAAAGAGGCTACCACTTGCTGTATGCCCAAAGAAAATACCGATAACATACAAGCTGCTCAAATAAAGAGGCTACCACTTGCTGTCGTCCGAAGAAAATACCGATAACAAACAAGTTGCTCAAATAAAGAAGCTGCCGCTTGCTGTATTCCAGAAAATACCGATAACAAACAAGTTGCTCAAATAAAGAAGCTGCCGCTTGCTGTCGTCCGAAGAAAAGTAATAACGCACTGGTAACTCATGAAGAGTTTGCTGCTTGTCGCTTTCAAGAAAAAATAAAATGACGCACTAGTAGTTCGTGAAGAACTGCTGCTCGGCGCTTTCAAAAGAAGTAAAGTGACGCACTAGTGGCTCATGAAGAACTACTGCTCGGTGCTTTCCAACGGAATAAAATGACGCACTAGTAGCTCATGAAGAACTGCTGCTCGGCGCTTTCCGAAAGGTAAAATGACGATGACGCACTAGTAGCTCATGAAGAACTGCTGCTCGGCGCTTTCACAAAGTCATAACTGACGCACTAGTAGCTCATGAAGAACTGCTGCTCGGCGTTTTCAAAGAGTAACGTACAAGTTGCTCGTGAAGAGCTACCGCTTGTCGTTTTCCAACGGTGCCTATAACGTACAAGTTGCTCATGAAGAGCTGCCGCTTGTCGTTTTCCAACATAATTCAGAAGGAAACTGCGATGATATTGGCAGAGAATAAAATCTTCATCAAAGAGAACCCTGAATCAATCTTTCCCGAGGAGATCATATACTTAAATGTGCAAAATAAACGCACCAGTCGTCTTGGTCGCAAACTCACTGGGGAAAATCAAAGAGTATAGCCTATGCAAGAGGCAGCCACTTCATCCAGGAATAACCAGAGAGAAACAGTCAAACAAGACTCTACCCAATGAGAAAGTAACTCGATTGGGGAATTTATCCTATCCAGAAATGGACAAGGTAAGCTGAATCAAAAATCATCCATGAGGATTAGCTCAGTTGGGGAATTAGAAAGGAGGCGCACTTTATGCTTAAGTTAACACCCTATTTGGAAAGATCAAATACGTTATTTGAAAAGACACAACCAAGGTGTACGAATTCAAAGACATCAACAGATACAACTGTGCGTGCATGATGCAAGTGCGAATGAATGTCATGAATGTCATGTATATGCTGACAAAACAGACAGGGGAGACGGACAGAAGATGATGAAACATCACAGTACAACCCGACGC